CCATGATCCGGTCCTCGACCGGCACCTACGGCCAGGAGATCTGGTCGGAGCCCCGACCGTAACGCCTGGCCATGGTGGGACCACAGTCTGACTCCGACCCTCTTTCTCCAACCGAGGATACGCCGGACCTCTGCTCGCTGCTCTTTCCCGACCGACACGGTCGGAGCCGACTGGGAACGATCGACCGGGGAGGCCCACTCGGTGTGGGCCCAAGGAGCAGGCGGAGTAGATAAGGTAAGACGCTCAAGTCAACCACAATACCGAGGACCGTACCCTGCCATGCCCTGCGCACCTACAGGACGGTGCCGTCGGGCCATGTCAGACGAACACTGTACAACCTATCAGACACGTCAAAGCATAAACAGTATTGTGGGCGCGTCGTTTGTCGTACCAGGCGAACACTGTACAGCCTGCCAGACACGTCAGAGCATGAACAGTATTGTGGACGCCGACATTTGCCGTACCAGGCGAACACTGTGTAGCCTGCCAGATGCAACAGAGCATGAACAGTAGGGTGGGCGATGGCGGCGTAAACAGTATGGTGGGTAACGATGGCCATCCCGTACCCAATGGCGTGGGCAACAAGACTAGGCTGTGCCCGTATACACACTCTCTCTCTGACTTGTAAGACCATCCCCTTCAACTATAAAAGAGGATACGCTCTCTCCTAGGACGGGAGGACTCGAGGACACGATAGCTCAACAGCTCTAGAACTCGACAACTCAACAGCTCTAGAGCTCGATAACTACATAGTCTATACGCTCTCAACAGCTGATAAGCTGGGACACACAAAGCATACGCTCCGATACTTAGCGCACGTTGGAGCATTCGTCACTCTCTCCCACTCAGTTCAGAGTCTGACCGGGCCTCTAACACACCCCTTCTCATTCCTTACTCGTTTGTAACCCCATAGCAAACTTCGAGCGCCTGGGCTCAGGAATAAAGTCACCGATCGACTGAAGCTGGATGTAGGGCACGTTGCCTGAACCTGTATAAATCATGTGTTATCGCGTGCGTGCACCCATAGCACGGCAAAACTACAAATATTTACTTGTTGGCCACATTTCGCACCAACACACCTTTCCTAACACATGCCAAGGTGTTCCCAAGAGATCTTACTAAAAATATTGAGTTTTCCTCACTAATTTCACGAATATTGAGAAAACTAGAGAAAAGGAGAAACTTCAAATTCATGGAGCTCAGTGAGGGATTTGCTAGGGAATCACCTTAGACTTGCTCAAGTATGTACTAGCACAAAAACCCCTAAAGAAATAGGATCCAAATTGTAGTAAAATCATATGAATGAAAAATCCAAAAAACATCTTCAAAATTTCCAAAAGAAGATATATAAAAAGTCAAGGCTCGAGGGAGATGAAGTTTATTAACTCAAGCTGCTAGAATTGGGGCGCTCTAACCTCCATAGTGGATTGGAATTCGGAATACCTTCTAAAGCAAACCGGCAATCACCACACTTCCAAGATTTTCAGGACAAGCCTAGCATGGCGGCGGCAAGGGGGGACTCACTAGTGGGCCCTAGGGGGCTAGTAATCTTCGTATCAATGAGCATTCAAACCTAAAATCGACTTAATTTCCATAACTAATATACTTTAATAAAACCTCATATTTAGTAATTCGTCCCGATTAGGAGAATTTGTAGTTTCAAATTTGATTTGGGACAACCTAATAAATAAAACTATTTATGCCATGATATCAATTTATAAGTGCCATTTTGACTTTGGGTGCTCAGGGGCAGATCCAAAAGAGGAAGAAATGAGGAAGCATGGGGTTGACGAACCCCTATGCAACATTCCTACATTCGCCATTGCACTACGTTCGGATTCATCAAAGTAAGTTTCTAATATAAGTTCAGACAAAAGTTCAAACAAAGAAATGACCAAAGTAGGAGATCAAAATATCAAATTTGGTGGTAAATGTGGCATTGCATTTTGTATGAGGTTATTTTTCTAAGCTAGTGGACCAATTATATAAATAACCTTATGACTTTTTCCAATCAAAATTTACATAATTCTTCTTCTTTGTCAAAGAGAGAAATTCTTTTTTACTATTTTGGATTTGACTTTTTTGTCCTATCGAGGGAACTGCATATGCCGGAGACTAAAAAAATATACGTTCTCACAAATATCAAGTCAAACTAAACTACATATACATATTTCTTTTTTACTATTTTGGAGCATATAGATTTTCAGGACAACTTTTTTTTTTTTGCCAGCAGATACTATCTTTAAGAAATTGTCGAATCTAATGTTAGCTAGAATGTATCCCTAAGCATAAAGGCGACCAACGACCTCACCCATAGGCTACTAGCAGTACTAATAATCACAAAGTGTTTTTATCAATATATCTCATTTTTTCCAATTTTAAAGAAGTATATCTTCATATCATCTAATCTAATTAATGTCAGTTATTACATAAAGATATTATTAGTGACATTAATAAAAGATCCTTTCTTCATTTCGTCAATTCCATTCATTTCTTTAATTTCTATAAATAAATCAAATGTCCTCCTTCGTGCACACCATCTCCAACAAGCTACTAGGACATCCAACGCTTCAATAATACGAAAAAAAATAAAAGGAAACGAAAGCTAGAAATTGATGTCCTGGCCGGCGCAGCTGGCCTTTCTGGCTTCACCTCCTATTTTTGTCAGTTCCGTTCTTGTTTTCCGCCGTTTCATCGTGGACTAATTAAGCTAAGCCAAACTGTTGGATCCCTTCCTTCCTTGAAAACCGCATCACCTTCAGGTTTCTGCACCTCCATGAATCCCATTCTTCGCCTCGCCATTATCCAGGCTCAAGAGCTCTAGATCCTTTGGTTGCAACTGCATTGTGGATTTGTGGTGCCGTTGATCGAGCCGCGCGTGCATGTGCACGCGAGCACGGACGACGCAGGCGGCAGGCGATAGCGCGCGCGCGCCCGCGTCGTCGCGACGTGATCCGGCGATGGGGTGCGCGACATCCACCGAAGCGCGGCGCGACATGGTGTGGGTCGGCGCCGACGCCCGCACGCGGCGGAGCTTCTCGCTGCCCTCCGTCGACCGCCAGCGTCTGCGGCTGAGGGCCGTGTCGATGCTCGGCACCCTCGGCCTCGCCGGCAGCGCCCGTCACTCCGGCTCGTGCAGGCACGCGACGCTGTCGGTGGAGGAGATGATGAAGGGCGACAACGACCACGCCGCGGACGCGGTGCTCCTCGGCGACGACGCGGCGAAGCGGCCCCTGAAGCTCCGCACGCCGACGCTGACGCCGCCCAACGAGCCCGAGGTGATCAACGCGTGGGAGCTCATGGCGGGGCTCGAGGACGACGTGCCGACGCCGCGCGCCACGTACAAGAGTCTGCCACTCGATGAGTCGCCGCAGGAGTTCGCCTTGGAGGCGCCGCCGCTTCCGCAGTGGATGCAGGCCGACATGGACATGCCCGTCGCCTTAGACTTCGACCCGGAGGTACTGTCCGGATTCCGGGAGGCTCTAGAGGGCACGCCGCCGTCGTCGGAGCCTGCGGTTGTCTCGTCCGCCGAAGACGAGACACCCAGGGAGCAGGAGCGGAAGGACAGGAAGGACGCGGACGTATGTGACATGCCAATGTCGCCGGCCACCGGCGACATGCCGGAGCTTTCCGGCCTTGTCCGTGCCCGCATCCTCGCGTTCCAAGAGAAGATCGAACGGAGACGAAGCAAGGGCCGCGACGCCAAGGTGTCGCCCCTGTGGCCGCCGGGAGGCGAGCGGAAGGCGGTGGTGTACTTCACGAGCCTCCGTGGCGTGCGCAAGACGTTCGTGGACTGCTGCGCCGTGCGCAGCATCCTGCGCAGCTACGGCGTGCGCCTAGACGAGCGCGACGTCTCCATGCACGCCGTCTTCAAGGCCGAGCTCGCGGAGCTCCTCGGGCCCGGCTTCGCAGGCGCCGCGCTCCCGCGCGTGTTCGTCGACGGCCAGTACCTCGGCGGCGCCGAGGACGTGCACTTCCTGCACGAGGCGGGCGAGCTCGGGCGCGCCCTGGAGGGGTGCGAGGCCGCGCCCTCGCGGAAGCTCGGGTACATGGAGGCGTGCGCCGCCTGTGGCGACGTCCGGTTCGTGCCGTGCGAGACGTGCTACGGCAGCTGCAAGATCTTCGTCGAGGACGACGACGCGGGCGACAGGTATCACGACGTCGGCGAGTTCCGGCGGTGTCCCGATTGTAATGAGAATGGCCTCGTCAGATGCCCCGTTTGTTGCTGCTGATGCTTGTGCCGCGTACGCTATGGTAGATTAGTTGTTTTTTTTGTCTGTACTCTGTAGTTTGTACAGTGTGGAGAGCATTATAACATAATTTTGATAGGAACAGGACCCTTATAATAATTCCGTGCCTAGTGCCTATTCTGTTTTTCATGTGTGAAAATAAAGGAATTTCAAGAGAAACTGCTCAGCCTGTTGATGATCCTATAAAACTGTTGAAAAAGGGATGGAACATTTTTGCTCGGGCATCAGAAACATTATATTCGTAATAGAACACTTGTCTAGGGGAGAACAATTGTTTGGTCATTCCAGATTACAGATTTCTCCAGCTGCAGTCAACACAAAGTGGCCTTTTCATCATGAAGGGTAAAATGGTCAGTAGTTGCAAGGATTGTTGATAGATAAACAAAATCTGAATAACATCTGATAACCGAACCATAAACAAACGAGAGGCATACCAAGAGGGAAATAAAGTCAAAACGAAAAGAAGCTAATCCACCGATGCAAGGGAAGGCAGTACTCAACAGCAATGCAAGAATATGAAATGAGCACAAAGTCAGAAACGTGACTGCACGATCACTTGACTCCATTTGCAATAATCAAACTTATCAGAGCAAACAGTTTGTTCTAAACGCACTGTTCGTCTCCTTTTAATTTATACAACGCTGTTGTCTGCTATAAATATACATCGAACAACATCACTTGAAGTATCGTATTAAGGTGTTCGTCCTCCTGTTTAGTAACTGAAGGATGGATTGTATATTTATTTTTCACTTAACTCTGCCTACCATGTGCGGCCAGATCTGCTGCGGCCTTGGCAGCCCTAGTAAGAGCATCAGACAACATCATGGCTCCTGCAGAGAAGTAGCTGCTGGTGACGATGCCATTTACCACCTTAGCTGCCGTTCTTCCAGTGGCAGTAGCAACCGTCTTGGTTGTCTCTGTAACGCGATATGTCTCGTCGACTGATCGCATCGCACCAACACCGGCATTGACCCTGTCAGTTAAACCGATTCTCTTGCTCAGCTCTGCAGCCCTGGCTGCAGCTGCAGCTGTTAATCCATAGGACTCATCAAAGGCTTTAGCCTTAGCCAAAGCATCCTTGCTGAGCACGTACCCCTTTGCTAGCATCGTCTTCATGATATCTTGAGCCACTGTAAAAGCTTCCTGCGGAGTAGTGTTGTACTGGCATGTTTGGTAGTTCTGTTCATAAAAAATTAAACATCAGCCCTACATTTGGGATTGGGAGAGTGAATTGCTGTTCAGACATCAACGAGGATTATTTTGAGAATTTAGACTAGTTTATCTTAAAATGTCCATGCTGGAATGAGATAAGCTTCCTTCTTTTTTCCTCAGTTCATATCACTGTGCATCTCTAAAGTGTGAAAACCACATTTTAACTCATCTGTCATGTAACAGAAAGATGAGCATAACCAGGTGATTTGGTAAGTTACATGGCAAAAAAGTTATATTGCCACTTATGCAAAAGAGCATCTGCGCTTATTAACACCAAGGACGCCACTCCAAGCAGCTTAATTAGCATGATTGGTGTGATGCAAATCATGTGTGTAACTAGAGATAATTTGCTTCGACGCCAATCCACTAAATCCAATAAATTGTCATATAATGAGAAAACTGGTTGCTCAAGGCAGAAATGAATTCTATTCACAAAAATGCTTCCTTGTCCTAGTTGACTACTATTAACTATGCAGAAAATTAGTAGAATGGCGAGATGCATACCCTGTATTCGATTTCCTCTTCGGTCTCCCAAGTTGGCCTGTCCCAGAAATTAAAAGTCTCCTCAGGTTGTCCCCAATAAGTTATGCATACCGGCTGATCCACAATGGTAGCCCCCTATCGAAGATGCAAAGTGTTGTCAGGGGCACAAAAAAAAAGGTACTTGCTACCCAAGAGACTTGTTGATAAAGTGGTTCGGTAAAGAAGTATACGGGCATACGGCCAGCTTCCAGGTCACTCCAAAGCAAAGCACAAACTGAAAAGATTGGGTTTCACTACCCAAAGATATACACAATCTTGAAGTGTGTAGAAGACTGACACTGCACTTTTTCCCGGGGGGGGGGTGTCAATATCCATTTAAAGAATTGAGATAGTTTGGATAGAGATGAACGGGACATCACATGTAAAATTGCATGTGTACATAAAGCTTTAGGGCCTCTTCGGTATAGAAGGAGAACCTTAATCTAAAAGAAATTTTCCTCTGAATGGTGTACACACTAAAGAGAGGCTCAAGAACTTTCTTGCTTTATAGGAAAATCATTTTATCAGTAAGTCAACTGAGAGAACATGAAGCCATCATCGGTATCAGGCACATCAAGAGTGGTACATTTAATTTCTGTGGAAAACATTGTTGTCAAAAAAGACAACTTACACTGAGCAATACTGCAGTTTCCAAGGCAAAGCGTTCCTTGAATGTCACATAAGCAGTGGCACCATAATCTTCTGATCTGTAGTGTTTAAATTCACCATGAAATTGATGACAAAGGCGAGTCATAAAACAAAATTTTGAATTGTGAGCCAGGGTACTCCAGAGATAAGATCATTCTATGAGGTAAATTTATAATAAGCATGGTATGTCAATAGTTGTTCAACGCATGGATATCAAAATAACAAGCATAGTTTTTTTGTGGACCAAATATTTTTTTTAACAAGAATGTTTGAGTGGGCAGAATATGCCACAGATAACAATTATCCTTTTCTGTTAACAAAGTTAAGATGTCATTTATCTACTATATGAAAAGTGAGTGAGCTACATACAATTTGCTTTCTCTAAAAAAAAGGGGAGAGAGAGAGAGAGAGTAAAAAAAACACCTGATAAGTTCTATGTGCTCAATAGGACCAGAGAACGAAAAGAACTCATGAAGATCACTTTCAGATACTCTGCTCGAGAGGTTAGTGACTTGTACAGTGTGCCCTGTTTCACTCATGATTCTGGAAGACATCAAACAGAAAAAAGTCAAAATTTTAGTATTTCCTGTGATATACATGTGAAATTGGATAGGCACAGTTGTTTCTGACTTTAGTCAGTAGGATATGTAACATCATTACAAGCACCAAGTAGTTTCTGCTTGTGTATCTCATTGGAAAGAACCTTTTGGTTGAACTTATTGTATCCTGTCTATAGCTATTGTCCTAAAGAATAATTTGGTGTCAAGTCCCCATCAGAACTAAAATTTTAAATGAATATATGTTACTTTCCAGTAGAAGTAGAAAATAGTTACACGAAATCAATAGCAATGAAATGAAAAGGATATATCCTACACACATCAGTTGGCCCACTGAAACGTCCATATTTCTATTAGCTATTACAATCTTTACAAAACTAGGCATACAGTGATAGCATCACCAGTACTACGACACCTATATGGCTATATTACAGTTCAGGGCAAATAATACAAAAGCACAAGGTGACCTGCTGCAGCTTTTCATCATATACATTCTCTTTTTTTTTTCAAGCTGGGTATTGAATAACTAAAGTGTGAATTTAACTGTTACTGACTTATGATACATGGCAATGTGACAGAACAGAAATCAACCTCATTGTTAATTATTTGATTCCATGAATATGGAGCTGTTAGAAGATGCTATCAAGGAGAAATTATATTTGCAAGATCAATGCTGGGGCAAGATTGGTTCCCTAAGTAGCCCGAAAACAGAGAAGGCATGAACACTGAAATGTAAAGGTTTTCAAAATTCAAATGAAGAGGAACTAGCACAAACTTGGTACTTTCCTGGCAGCAATACTTGCGGCTAACAGGGAAATGATTGCTCAAATACCACTGTAGGAATATTATGGATCCGGAGGATTTATAATCATCAAGTGCAGTAGCATTTCAGTAAACCGACTACACCTGCTACAATACCAGTTGTTCCCTCAGAGTGCCACTTTTTTTTTTCAGAACCCAACCCAATCACTCATCATATCTTTCTTAACAAAGCCCTTAACCATTCATCCAGAAGGCTTCATATCCTCAGCAACTAAACTAAGCATCCTAAATAACGAACCTCTAATCACATTTATCCTCTAAATGTCATTGGCAAACAGCTGATCCGATGTAGCATATTGAAGATCATGCAATGGAAACTAAATTGAACAGGTCCTAAACAAAACTAGGGCACAACGTAGTTAACACAGAAAGGGAAAGTCACAGCCATATCACAGACAACCTAGGAAACGCAACAATAGGCGCACAATACGATCAATCCAGGCTCTCCTCTGACAAACCGACACAGAAATCCGACGCGCCAGTCGCCAGAGGGAAATCACCCCTGAAGCAACCACAAATGAAGCAAAAATCACAGCAATTCAGGGCAAGGCGAGCGAGGAAGCAGCCTTACCCTTCTCTCCCCGTCGACTCCTCGCGCCCCCACCCAGCTCGGCAGTCGGCGCCGCTTGGTTTGGCGAGGCATCCCGCACCAGCGCCCGCACTCCACCCACCGCACAGGCGCAGAGTGGCCCGTCCAAATCGCGTGATGAGCCCGTCGGCGCGGCGTTTAGTGGCGTGTGGGGCAAGGGCGCGACCTCGATCTCCCAGCCACCTACCGTACTAATCAACCGGGGTTCACTTCCGCACACGCGCGCGCACACAGGATTGCCCCTTCCCCCTCGGCAGTTGGGAGTTGGGACGAGGGGGCACGACGCCAGGGGAGAGGACGGTGGGGTGGCGTGGCGGCCTCGAGATCGGAGTAGGTAGTGGACTGGCACTGGTCACTTGGTCAGTGGAGTATTGGGCCACGGCTCCGACTCCCAAGCGCTTTGGACGTGCGGTGTCGGCGCCTCGGTGGGCAGTTGTGGTTGGATTACATGGGCTCGTCAAAGGAAAAGGGCTCTCTTTGGGCTGGGCCGTTTGTGGGCTGTTGAAGGATCCTGGGCTTTGATGAGTTTCAGAAGCCTTCTTGGCGCGTTTTTCGCGTTCCATTTTTGGTCGCGATCGTGGAGAAACTGAAGAAGCAGTCTAATTGAAGGAAGGCACAACGTACATGAAGCGCGCGTACGTGAGATCGCATCGCATGCTCTACGTAATTAATCTGGGCGCGACCCATCGACGTTAACGTACATGGATGGCGGCGTCACGTGGGCAATTCCCCGGCCCGGATCTGCATGCACATGCACGTGGTGCCTGTACGTGCTAGCTTATGATTACTCTATCTACGTGGTACACTGGTACTGGGCCGGGACGGTCTGGCGTAATCATGCATGAAACCATCGCCGGGATACTTTCGCTTCCATTCGTGCCGGCCACACAAGCCGTAGCCGGCCGGGGGGCGGGGGCCCTGACAGATGACTCCCCGTGTGCTTAAGCAATGAGGGACGCAGCGACGGAGGCAGCGGTGGGGCTGGAGGGGCTCTAGCCCCCCTACCGATCCTGGGCACGTGGAGCCACCCTAAGCCATCTCTTAAAATTTTATGGAGCCACCCTAAGCCATCTCTTAAAATTTTATGCATATATGTATTAGATAGGAGAGGCTAAGGTTAAGAGAGATAAAAAAAACCTCTATTCTTTTGTTCAGCTCCTCCTAAATTTTTTTTCTGGCTTCGTCCCTTATCGAGGCCGACGACGGTGTATTGTGACTTGCGATCGAGTCGTGGCCGTACGTTTGCTTTATTTCAAGCTGAGGTTTTCTACGGTGCAGGGTGCTGCTTTAATTTTTCAGTTCAATAATAATCAGATCGCTCGAGTACATTGGTTTATGGTGCTGTTGACATGAAGCGGCACCAAATACAGAAACATTAAACATGCATGCGTGCACCCATAGCAATCTAGCAGTGCTGAACCTTCCCGCGAAAACCAAACCCTCAGATACTCTCAGGTTTCCTTGGACAGAGGTAACTATTTACTATTACCTCCATTCCAAGTTACTAAGACTGCATCTATGGTTTGGAATTTGGAACGGACGGAGTAAGTCTTATAATTTAGAATGGTGGGAGTGGCAAAAGATGACTAGGTTTACTAGCAAAACAATAAAAAAATCTAACTGTTGTGCTTACGTGACAATGAACAAGAGCAAACCAGCGAAAAGATATATATCGTGCTTATGCGAATAAACAGGTAGTTTCCAAACAAACTAAACTAGCAAAAATACCCTCAACACTCTTGGCACTGGCAGGGAGGGATTCTTTTAGGGTGTGAATGTTGTTTGGTTTTCCTAGGTCAGGTAGCAAGTCTATGGCATCATCATTATTTGGTCGTGGTGATCAGATCAAAGGACGAAGATTAGTCGAGGCTTGAAAGAAAATTAAGGCAAAAATACCCTCAACATGGATCGATGCTGTTTTCCGACAAGAGCGCCATCGCCTTTTCCAATTAGTCGTTGCATGCATATGCGTACTGTGCTCTGATGCGTCTATACGCGCGAGAGACGGCGATGTATACGCACCCGGCCTCAACGCGCGCGTAACTGCAAACGATGCACGTAACAAGCACTTGTGGTCGAGGACCGGGCCAAGAGCCATTGCCATGGATAGGCATGCATGCAGACCATGCAGTGGTCACGGGACACGGGAGGGTGCAGTGCTGAAAAAGGGGAGGGATCGAGACGGGCCACCCGATTGACAGGATTATGGAATGACTGCTGAGCTGAAGACAAGCCATTTATGTAAAGCCTAGTAAATTGTTTTTTTTAGCAATGATCATAGTATGCATAGCTAGATGAAGCTTCAGTCGAGTTCAAAAAAAAAAAGATGCAGCTTCAGTCTTTTCGTCAGTACGGATGACCTGCATCTAGCCTAGGCTGGTACTCCCGGCCCTCCCTCCACTGCTGAAAACATGGTCTTTGCCGAGTGCAAACTGTTTTGTCGAGTGTCAAAAATCGGGCACTCAGCAAATAGTTCTTTGCCGAGTGTGGGGCACTCGGTAAAAAAGGGCACTCGGTAAAGGACTTCTTTGCCGAGTGCTAGACTCTCGGCAAAAGCGCGGCACTCGGCATAGGCTGCCCCGCGTAATGGTGTCCGACAACGTCCTTTGCCGAGTGCCTGCTGTTAGGCACTCGGCAAAGATTTTTTTTTTGGAAAATACTTTGCCGAGTGCCCCTGACACTGCGCTCGGCAAAGATTCAATATTTTTTTTGAAATGTCTTTGTCGAGTGCCCACTCATTCGGCACTCGGCAATGAGAGGAATTAAAAAAATTACTTTTTTTTTGAAATACCTTTGCCGAGTGCCCCTGAAGAGAAAATTTCTAAAAAAATCCAAAAACCTCTTTGGCGAGCGCCTTGTTCGGTCACGCACGATGCTTACAAACCAGGACATCTCTAGATGTCCTGGTTTGTAAGCATCGTACGTGACAACATGCACGAAATCTTCTGAAATTTTTATCATAGCCTCCACATACGATATCACGACATCTCAACAAATTTCATGATTTTCGGACTTCGTTTGCTTTTTATAGAATTTAAAAACACTTCACACGCAAGTTCGTGGTGAACAAGATGTCCGAAATTTCGGGTCCGTTCCTAGATACGGCCTCATACTACACTTAGTAACATGACTATCATTTTTTGAATCATTAAATTCCATTATTCGTATCACGTGCAGTTCAAATTTATATTTTTCGAAAAAAATTCAAGTAAACGAAATAAAGTAACTAAATATATAAAAAAGTCACAAAAAATCCCCAAATTCTAACGAGGAGTTACCGGTACTTTAAAAGGGCTGCACAAAAAATTTGGAAGCCAAAAACAAAAAAAAAACTTTGCCGAGCGTCGGGGCATGGCACTCGACAAAGGGGGTATTTGCCGAGTGCCAAGAATAAGCGCTCGGCAAAGAGGTTTTCGATTTTTTTTAGAAATTTACTCTTTGCCGAGTGCCTTCACAGGTATTTAGAAAAAAAAAACTATGCCGACGGTCGGATCGGGGCACTCGGCAAAGTTGCCTCCTTTGCCGAGTGCCTCCCTGATCCGGTGCTCAGCAAAGGGGCGGGTGGGGGCACTTAAGCGAGTTCGCCCGGGCACAGTCCAAGCCACACAAAGAGAGCCCCCCCCCACGCGCCTCTCCCGGCCGTCCCCGCTCCGCCGCCCGCCAACGCCGGCCCGCCCCGCGCCGCGCGCCGCCCTCCCCTCCCCGTGCGCCGGGGCCCGCGGCCGCCAGCCACTGGGCCGCCACCGCCGCCGCGCACCGCCGCCCTTCCACGCGCCGCGTGCCGCCCGCCGCAGCCCCTCCCCGCGCCCCAGCCAGATGGAGGCGTCAGCTTCGGCAGAAGGTGGGGGAGGCAGCGCCGCCATGCGGAGCAGCCCGGCGGTCGTGCACGCCACCAACGACGACGCCTCGGCCAGCAAGCTGTAATCCCCCTTCCGTTGTGCGGCTAATTTGTTTTCTCCGTTGCAATTGGGTGGATGGATGGATGGAATGGAAGAGGCGCGGCTGGTTCGTTGGGCCGCTTGTTTGTCGATAATTATACACTTTTGGTTGCAATGAATCGGCGTAGGAACTAGAAAGCACTTGAGCCAGGCTCATAAGCATGTAACACGATGCACGGTTCTCTTGTTAGGAAGATGAACTGGGGTAGCTTGTCACTCCAATTTTGATGTGAAAGTCCCTCCTTGC